GGGGGGGGGGGATTTGTTTGGGGTTTTTTTTCTTTTAAGCCTGCGATTCGAAAACTTCTTTTGCCTTACGAATTTAGATAATCTGTCTTTAACTAGAGGATTCTCGGGGAGGACAAGGACTTGTACTTGTAGTTGGAATGTTATTCGAGATAACAAAAATGATTTTTTCATATAATTATATAACATTTTTATATAGCGCATTTCCAACAAAAGTAGCTCAATGAAACACGATTTTCTGTTCTTTGGCTGATACACAACTTAAGCATATTCTGCACATTATCCTGTTTCACACAACGTTTTTCATCACCTGGAAATTTTATTTTTATTTTTTACAAGTAAGTTTAATCATAGTTTTTCTCAATTTAGTTTGTTTCAGCTCTTTTTTTTTTGGCGCTTTTCTCGGTTTTTCAATTTTCACGCAAAAAGTTGAAGCTTTGTCCTAATATCTCAGAAGGTATTACAGCTACAGACCTGAAACTTTGAATAGCGGCGGTCCATGCTATTTACAACACAATGATAGACTATACTATTCACTGAAAGATCCAAAAAAGACTTTCTGAATAAAAGTGCTTCTAACTGCCCTTAACCTATAACATTTTGAAAAGCATGATGGACGTAAGACCATTTATTATTATATTCTTATTTGCTTTGTAAACTTAAAACAAGTAAGCTTCTTTGAACAATGGTTGTTTTTCATGAATCTATATTACATTTAGGCCTACATAGATCTATATCTAGGCATTCTCAGTATCTGGCCTAATATCCCGCACGATTGGCCTCGGCATTCGAGGCCAAACACGTTCGCGGAGGGTCAACGCGAAAAGCGGCGATAGACAAGTGCACTGGTGCGGGTGATGGAACATTTCTCGCACTGTACTCACTAGACTGGCCTAAGGAACCTTACTTTAAGTTAAACTGTCCCCGTGGTTTTATGCACCCCGCATAATTTAACAAAATTGATTATTTTCCGTTATCATTCTTTGTTAAAATTAACAGAATCGCATAATTTCACATTTTTTGGGCTCAGTTTGCATAATTTCAAAATTTTTCTTGTATAAAACGACAGAGACAGTTTAAATTCAAGGTATTTTTGTTGTTGCTGCTTTGTTGTGAGGGTTTATCGGTTCTTATAACAAAGGAAGATCACATCAGTGACAGAGTGCATCAATTCGTCACCATGAAAATGTATTACGTTCGTATTTTTCCATGAAATCCAGACCGTGGCACACAAGTGGGATAACTTTGGTTCTTCACTTGTAACGGATAGCCTACAAGAGACACCGTTCTCATTCTACGTGTTTAAACAAATATGAAAGAAAATTAATTTGACACACACACACACACACACACACACACACACATACATACATACACATACATACATATTATGGCTCATCAGATGGATTGCACATAACTGAACCCAATCAGCTGTTGATAAAAAAGAAGACGTCTCTTACCTCTGAAAAAGTTACTGTGTGCATGATCTGGATGACAACAATGTTACTTTTTTTCTTCGCCTGTCCTTCATTCCGCGAAGCACTTTGCTCAGCAGATCTTTTCATGAAGATATTTGCCAACTGCATCAGCTTACAATAATAATATAATTATATCAAGATGGAATATCGCTGGAAAATCCAACAAAATCGCCACTAATCAATTTCTGCACAGTTTTTCAGTCGTTTCCAAAAACAAAACAAAAAACACCCCTAAGTATGTTTTAATATACACAATTATTTCATTTGAAATACAATATTGACCTTGTTTAAGAAAAGAACAGTTAAATGATTCCATTTAGGTCTAGCGTTGTTTTTGGCGAGTCATGGAGTGTTTTGGTGACTTTCGGTGAGTTTCGGTAAAAAGACAGACTTTTTTGGTGGAGTGAACTATAAGGAACTGAGAACTTCACTTCAGTGAACCAGCTTAGTTAGGCTTGTTGGCCTAGAGATTCTCTAGACTACTTCTTTTAACTTGTTTGTAGGCCCTAGCGACTACTTTGTAGGCCTAGGCCTAGTGCAGGATCTTTGATCCCGAGACAAGACCAACAAAATAACATGGATATAAAAGATCTAGGGGCGAACGAAACTGTAGTCGATCTTCCACCTAAGACTAAGAGTAAAAGACAACGGACAAGCCAGTGGTGCTCTGCAGTCAATTGTAAAAATGAACGATATAAAAGACCGGATCTTTCATTTTTTCGGTTTCCTAAGGATAAGGTGAGGAGCCGTAAGTGGGTGGTGAACTGCCGAAGACAGGATTTGCTAAGCAAGTCACCAGAGAGTCTCTCCATTGGTAACGTACTCTGCTCAGAACACTTTGAGGACTCGGAGTTTGCCACTGCGAGGAGAAATCAGCTGCGTCGTAACAATACAGCTATACCAACGCTGTTCAATTTCAATGTGCCCAATCCTCCGCGTAGATCTGCTCAAGAACTAGATCTAGATTTAGATCTAGATGGAAACAGATCACCTTCAAGAAGATCTAGATCTACTGTGCCTAAGCCTACAAAATATTCAAGCCCTTCGCCTTCGCCTTCAAGAACATTGGAGGGAATTTCTCAACCTCGAACTTCATTTCGTCAGGTAAAAAAATGCGAATTGACTAAACTCTAGACTCTATTTCTCCGAAAGTTTGGGAAAATAAACTTGATTTTTAGATCTTGTTCTAGATTCTAGATCTAGATCTAGATCTATCATGAACTGTTTCCATTCTCGATTTATTTAGAGTTCGGCGTCACATCTTTCATTCTGCGAGGACTGGTAAAGAAGCATTTTCTCACAATTTCTGGCTTAGAATTCAATTTTTCTAGAGCTCGAAGTAGAAGATCTAGATAGATCTAGAGGTATAGAGGCCTCTATCTGAATACGAAGTGACTATTTCTCCGAACGTTCGGAGAAATAGAGTCGATCCTTATTTCTCCGAACAGTTTCTGGCTTCTTGTCTCGTGATTTTTTGCCTATTTGCGAGAGTTCGGCGCCTACTTTCATTCTGCCATTCTGCGAGGTCTGGGAAGGAGCAAATTTTTGGGTCTAGATTCTAGATCTATTTCAATTTTCAAAAACGTAAAAAAGAAAGGTTTCACAACAGAATGAAATCAAAATTTGAACAGCCCATAAACAACCACAAAAATTAACAAATAAGGGCTTGTGTCCACCTGTCCGAAGAAGATTGGCTGTTTTAACCCTAAATGTGCGTAATTTTTAAAAAAAAGTATAGATATATATTGTTAATGTAAATTATGGAATCACTCGCAAGGGGTCTGCCAGTGTCAGTACATGACATGTACAGTGGAACTCGGATTCAACAAGATGAGATAGATTCCCCGTTTTTTTTCTTCTTTAAAATCAATGAAAGTAACCCGGATTCAACGAGCACTTAAATCAGCGAGCTCGGATTCAACGAGGTCGCTTCCAGGGTGAACAGCCCCCACAGACGTGGCTTCGCTAATTTTTCTCCCAGAACGAACTTTATCCATTCCCGGAAACCATCCATTGCACTTGCATCATGAACCATCATTTACTTAGCCGATTGCATGCGGCAAATCAGCGGCTTTTTTTCTTACCAACACATGTGTTGTTGACACACGCCCGTGTCTACTCTGGCGTGTGTCGGGGTCGGATGGGCAGCCTGCACACGTGTGGTTGTGTGTGCGTGTCGGGGGGGAGAGGGGGAAACGTCGCAGATACAAACGCGTCACAGTCTTTTTTTCCCTCTCGGCAACTGATCATTATTACAATAATTAGCTAGTCTTGACGTAGATCTACGTAATGAATTGTGCGCTGGTCTATGGAATCAAAAGTTGCCGTATGCTAGGCTCTACACACAGCAACACAACTTTTTGGTAAATAATTGAGATTTATCAGGCGTGAATTTGAACGAATCGGGTCTTTTTTTAACACTTCTCATAATATGCAGACATTTCAGGCACTACTTGTAACTTCTCTTTATACATTACTTGCTCAGTGCCTGTAATTATCTACACAAAACCTCGTGTTTGCTTCTTGTAACGAACAATCGGATTCAACGAGATTTTAGGTCAGTCCCGGCGACCTCGTTGAATCCGAGTTCCACTGTAATCGGTTTTGGTGGAACGCTGTAACGTAACTTACTTATCTATAGAATCTAATGAAGGTAGGAACATCAAATTAAATGACGTTACAGTTTACAACGTCCCCCCTTTTCCCAGACAAAATTTTTTTAAAGAAAAAAACAACACATCAGAACCATAATAAAGAGGAAAAAATAAAAGGAACAGAATACAAATCGTATTCATTATAAATATTATTATATAATTGTAATGTATTCAACAAATCAACGTGGTGACAACAAGTGAGAAAGAGACGAAATGAAGCTAAGTGAACTTCCTTTCAAAAGTAAAGAGGTTCGGTTTCTTTTCTTTTTTTTTAAACGCCAAAAAATCGAGCCACGATTGATTGGTAGCGGCCGCGACAAACGCAGAGATGCTAGTTCTATGTGTCGTTATCAATAACCTTCCTTAGATCTAGATCTAGATCTAGACAGCACACGAGTGAACACAACACATTAAGTTTAAGAGAAGCTCCCTTCATCTAGGCAACACGTCATATGTAGCGAAAAACTGTTTGGAACTGTAGCATTTCTTTATTTATATAAATATTTACTGCGGACATTTTTTGGACAGATTGAACCTTTGTATACGAACAATCTTTCGTAGGCCTATAATATAATTAAAGATCTATCAGAAATTTGCGGGAAAGGGTGGGATTACAGAGTGTTCGGAGAAATAGTGCCCAGCTTTATTTTCCCAAACGTTCTGAGAAATAGTGCCGGCCATCTGAATATTCAGATGAATACTTCAATTGCGGTTAGGGCAACGTTCGCAGACTATACTTCATATTTTGAAAATGCCTTCAAAAGGTAGGCCCTACTGCGAGAAAACAAGACTGCTTCACTTTGGCTGTAACTTGCCTTTAGTCTAGCACGTGCGTTTGTCGCAATCGCGGCCACGATTTTTGGCATTTTCTGGTCAGCAAATTTTGCGTTTTTCGAAAAAAAAACAACCCCAAAAAACCCCCCTCGGTCGGGGAATAAAAGTCAACTAAAAAAAACAAACAAACAAAACAACAAAAACAGAAAAAGAAACCGAACCTCTTTACTTTTAGAAAGAAAGTATTTTCACTTCTAGTTGAAGCAAAATCAAACATTCCGTGACCGTGGAGAGCAGAAGTCGCGTTCTTTGGCTTTTTGGAAACTTTAGGAGTTAAAAAGAGAATTTAGCTCCCATGCCTCTTTGAGAAGGGTGGGCGTTGTACATAATTTACATGTAAACTTATACTGTTTTAACATGCAAAAATAGTTCAGGTAACTGGCTAGCATAATCACCGCAATGGACTGTTTTGATTACATTCGTTTGGGGACAATGTCTCCGATCGTGTTTGTCACAATTCCAAAATCACGACATTATCACCCTAAGTTTTGATTTATTATTTGAAACGGTTTGAACTGGATTTGTCCACTTTGTCTCTTATGGCATACACATAAACAGGTTGGAGGCATTACTGTAGATCTAGTATTTATCATACAGAAAGAGGTAAAACAAAACAAATTCATAAAGGAACCGCAAAAAATTAGTCTATAACACAGCGGGATTTTCCGGGCGCATTTTGATGTGATCAAGGCGTTGTGCATGTTGTAACCAAACCTTTAACTCGACATTCCTTGACAATGAAAGTAAAAACATTCCCGAAAGATTGAAGATCGGGTGTTCCGTTAGAGCAAGTTTTAAACTAACTAATAAAAAAGAATTAGCGTTGCTAATTTATATATACCCTATTATTTTTTAAATTCTTGTTCTTAATAGAATACTGATTCAAATTTACCATTTTGAAACTAAGCTACGCACCGCTAGCTATACTGTCTCC